CGATCGCAAACAATGAGGATCTAAATGGACCCTATTATAAAAAATATTTGGAATGTATTGAAGAATTAAAAAAACACAAACGACAATCTGATACATTTTACGATTTAACTAAAAGAAAAAAACAATAGTTACGTTTAAGGTTCACAGAATAAACATGATTTGATAAAAGAATTTGAAATTGAGATCTACTTTTCATTTAACTTCCATAATTTTGATTCATTCTAACGTTTGAAATTACAGATAAAATGATTTTATGCCCTTGCTGTCAGAGACAATACGAGAGTCTTAGTGTATATGTTGCCCATCGTTGTGATTGTCGATTCAATCCATGCAGAATGATGGATTTTATGGAAGGTCCACCGAATAAAAGACTACGGTTAGAAGCTTCCAGTTCTTCAAGTGACTGCTCATCGTGTACATCATGCAGTAACTGCTCTTTATGCGTCGAAGCATTAAATTCAAATCAAAACATCACATATAATAACGAGAATAATGACCAACAGGAAGATTCGACTGATGCTCATGAAATCATGCAAAATGAACCTGAGCTTATAGAACTTTCAAGTCAATCAACGATAGACTTATGCTCAGATAATGACGATTGTCCGATTGATTTATCAACAAGGATCGGTCAACCAGAACGACAATCTGTCATCCAGTTTGCACCAAGACCTACTTATATTACCTATAGGATTGATCAAGGTACCTCACCAATACACTTTTCACCTGAACCATCACTTGAACCAGCACCTGAACCAGCACCTGAACCATCACCTGAACCATCACCTGAACCATCACCTGAACCATCACCTGAACCATCACCTGAACCATCACCTGAACCATCACCTGAACCATCACCTGAACCATCACCTGAACCATCACCTGAACCATCACCTGAACCATCACCTGAACCATCACCTGAACCATCACCTGCACCAGCACCTGAACCATCACCTGAACCATCAGCAAGGAGAAATGAATCTACAAGAGTACAAAAAGGTTCAGGAACTGCTCGTCCGCGAGACTTCATCTGTAACAGTTGTGGCAAGTCTTATACAAGACAAAAATTTCTTGATAATCACATTAAAGTATGTGGGAATCACATAACATTTGTGCATCCAGAAAATGCTCCTGATAATATCGGTATTTTCAAATTGGTAAAATCGGCTTTCAAAAAATATTTACTACTATACCGTACCACTAATATAACAGGTCTTGATGCAGCTTATGAACTTCAATGTAAAATGGAGGAGATTAAATTAGTACTCAACACACTTTTGGATGAATTTGGAGCCATTAAGTATAGTTTATGTTTCATAGTGGAGTTCATCAATCTCGTAAATGGTGAAAAAAGTAAAGGTGCCTTCGAATCTGATTTGATTCCATGCAACGCAGCTTCTGATAAAGAAAAACTCAATAACAATGCTCTTGAATACATAATTGACCGAATCGATCAATTTACTCAAAGAGGTTCTGGTTGGACAATTCATAAAATTACTTCTTTGGACTTATCAGCTGGTAAATATAAGCCTCAACGCGGTGGTTGTAATTTTCATCGATTACCAGACTTTTTAAAAAATAAGAAGTGTTTGATTTCACCTCAAACAGAAATAGATTGCTTCATGTATTCTGTGCTGATTGGTTTGCACAAAAGTGATATCAATGTTGGACGAGTTAGCAACTATACTAAATTCATTGAGAAATATGACTTTTCTGATGTACGAGGATCAGTTCCTGTTGAAAACATCGCTCGGTTTGAAAGGAAAAATGATATTTCAATCAATATCTACACTTGTATGTTCGGCAGTAAAGCAATCGTTCCTGTGAAAATCTGTAATACAGAAAAGACTAAACATGTTGACCTTTTTCTCTACGATCAACATTATTATATGATTTCTTCCTTCAATCGCTTAGCTTCAACAAATGATAAACATACTAAATATCACTGCAAGCGATGTTTTAGTACTTTCAATAGTAAACAACTTCTTGCTGATCATTTGCTTGACTGTTCTCTAATAACAGCACAAAAAATTCTACTTCCCGACGCCAGCGATTCAACATTGAAAAGAAAAGACTTTCATAAAGAAGTTAAATTTCCAGTATGTGTTTATGCTGATTTCGAGACACTGAATATAAAGAATGATGACGAAACTCATATAACAAGCACATTAGAACCATGCAGCTACGGATATGTAGTGGTTGACTGGGAAGGTAAAATTATACACCAAGATTTCTATTTAGGTGAAGATGCAGGCAAAAAGTTTTTGCATAGCCTGTTGAGTGTGCAGTCACTTATCTTGAAACATATTGAAGATAACATCAAGCCTCTTTGTCTTACTCCAACTCAAGAAAAACAATTCAAAGAAGCGGAAATATGTCATATTTGCTTGAAACCTTTAACTTCCATTCGTGTTCGTGACCATGATCACCTCACTGGTAAATTTAGAGGTGCAGCGCATCAAGATTGTAATGTGAATTACAAGCTACCTAAACAAATTCCTGTCATATTTCATAATTTAAAAAACTTCGATGGGCACATAATCGTAAAAGCTCTGGATTCAACAATGGTACAACAAGTTCCACAAATAATAGCTCATTCAACAGAGAAATTTATTGGCTTCATTCTTGATAATTTCAAATTTGTTGACAGCTATGCTTTTCTCGCTGCAAGTTTGGACAATCTAGCATCAAATATTCCTATTGATGAAAAGAAACAACATCTAAATCAACTCATAACTGGCGATGTATCTCTTTTGCTGAAAAAAGGGTCCCTTCCTTATGAATATCTTGATGATATGAACCGTTTCGAAGAAACTGAGTTACCTGATAAATCTGCTTTCTATTCTTCTCTTTCTGAAAGTACAATTTCAGATGAATCATATTCTCATGTACAATCTGTTTGGAATCAGTTTAACTGCAAAAATCTAAGAGATTTACATAATATTTATTTGAAGACTGACGTATCATTATTAACATCTATATTTGAAAATTTCCGAAGAATGTCTATCGATAGTTTTGGGCTAGATCCACTTCATCATTTCTCATCACCTGGACTAACATGGGCTGCAGCCTTGAAGACAACGAAAATTGAGCTCCAACTCTTTTCAGACGTTGACATGCTGTTGATGATTGAAAAAGGGATTAGAGGAGGACTGACAATGGTAAGCAAAAGACATGTGAAAGCAAATGATCCTGAATTTCCGGATTATGATCCACAAGAAATAAAAAGTAAAATTCTTTACTTGGATGTCAATAACCTTTATGGGTACGCGATGTCTCAGCGACTTCCAGTTGATGGATTCATATGGTCTGATGAATCGTTAGATCAAATTTTATCTACTCCAGATGATAGTGATCAAGGGTTTATACTTGAAGTTGATCTAGAGTATCCAGTTGACATACATGACGATCATTGTGATTTACCACTTGCACCGGAAAAAATGCTCATCACATCATCACTTTACAGTCCTTATCAGGTAAACCTATTGGAAAACTTAGCTGAGACTGGAATAAAATCATACCCAACAAGCAAACTTGTAACAACTTTTACTCACAAGATCAAATATGTTGTTCATTACCAAGTATTGAAGTTTTATGTGGAAAAGGGTATGAAAGTAACTAAAATTCATAGAATAATCAAATTCAATCAGAAACCATGGCTTGCTGAATACGTTGATTTTTGTACATCGAAACGACAACAAGCGGAAAGTGATTTCGAAAAGGACTTCTGGAAGCTTCTGGTTAACTCTATTTATGGAAAAACAATAGAGGATAAAAGAAAACATGTGAAGGTACAAATCGCACTTAAAGATATTCAAGCTGAGAGATTGATGAGAAAAAATCAGTTGAAAAAATTTGTGATCCTTGACGAAGACAAAGCAATTTTTCAACTTAAAAATTTACTTATTAAAATGGACAAGCCAATTGCAGTTGGTTTCACTGTACTCGAGCTTGCGAAACTTAAAGTTTATCAACTGCATTATGATACTTTCAAGAGATATTATGGTTCAAATATTGAACTTATTTATACCGACACTGATAGTTTGATCTATCATATCAAAACTGAAAACATCAACTCAGATTTATATAATTTTTCTCATATAATGGATTTTTCAAATTACCCCCAATCACATCATCTTTTCTCTAACGAGAATAAAAAGAAAATAGGATATCTCAAGAATGAAATCGCCGGAGATGAAATTACTGAGTTCATAGGGCTCAAGGCCAAACTTTATACAATCAAAACACTCAAAGAAGTAAAGAAAAGAGCGAAAGGAGTCCCAAGAACTTCTCTCAAGCAAATTTCATTCGAAGACTATAAACAGTGTCTTTACAATGAGTCAATAAAAGCAGGATCTTCGACAAGAATACAGTCGTTTGATCACAATATAACAATGATGAATCAACGAAAATTAATGATTTCACCATTTGAGGATAAGCGTTACTACTTAGACAAAAACTCATCTATTCCTTATGGTCATTATTCAATTAAATAATCAATTTCAAAAATTAATGTTTATATTTGTTTAAAAAAAATTTATTAATCATTTCCATTTTGATAATTCAAAAAATTAAATATTTTTTCAATACATGAATCAATTTTGTCTCATTATTAATATGTTCACAACCGCGAAATAACTTGTAAAAGTCATTTAGATTATAAACTGAAATTACAAATAGAAGACAGAAAAATCCACAAGCAACTGATAAGTTACCTTGGTATTTATTAGGATTGAATAGATAATAATCAGATATTTTCTCAATAAATGTTAGTATTAACCCTTGAGGTTTCCTTCCGAATGAATCAAAATAATGGACGATTTTATTCGTATCGAGATACATTGCGACCCAATGACTTCCCTCTTTATAACTTTCATCTAAATTGATAATGATTGCTTTATCTTTACTGAGATTTGTTGGTAATTGATCGATCGGGAAAACACCAGCAAACCAGGGAACATCAGTAAGTAATGTAATTATATCGTTTGTAGTTAACATTCTTAGTAATCCAAATTTACGTTACGGTCTTTATCAATTGTAATTAGATTATCGAATTGAGCAAAAACGATAACTTTAAGTGATTGTTTCAATCGATCACTGAATTTAATGTCAAGTCTTATATTACCTCTTTTAATCAGAGATAATGTCCCGTTCTCAGCACCAATTGATCCGTCAGGTGAGAGATCAAATGAAAATAAAGTAGATGATTTACCATATTCATCATATGTAATATTAAGTTGTGGGATACCTTCATCTTGTCCAAAGAATCGGTATAAATTAATAAATTCTCTCATATAATAATTAGAACTGAAATTAGGTGAGTACGGAATTGATGGAATCATATTCCCATCAACGTTGAGTGAAATAAAATTCGTATTGAAATGTTTAAATTCAAAGGGATCGAGATAAATGCTTTCCTCTTGAGCAGCATCTTTAACTAATCCCACTAATATTCTACGAGGTAAAACACCATGATATACATTTTCGATTGAAGCTGATGATTGACCTGAAGGAATTGAGAAAACTCTAGTATCGTTCCTTGTTATGAAATACTTTGCAGGGCCTTTTTCAAGACCTGCAATTATACTTTTCTGAGCTTCAGGGAATAATTTAACACGTTTGATGTGTAGAGAAAATTTCTCAAATTTGATCTCATATTTAGCTGTATCAGCTGCATCATATTTGATTAATGAAAATCCATCAGGACTTTTAGTGAATCTAAATGTTAATGGAACTCCGTTGATTAAAAGTTTATCCTGTTCACATAATGGAGAATGTAAACGAAAATACAAGTCAAAAGATGATCGTAAATTAGTTTCAGACACTTGGAATCCGGAATCCATTGGATTGGGAAATCGGAAAAAACAATCTTCAAAATAAGATTGGTAATGGTATGTATTATTGGCTTGCACAGTATTAACTGAGCCAAGAGATAAGTCCACTTGTTCAAATAACGAATTACCAAAATTAGTAACAGCTTTAACTTTATTTGCTTCTGTAAGTACTGCACCAGCAACTGTTTTAACACTAAGATGAATATGAAGCATTGTACATGCCAAATCTGTAAAATCTTCACTTGCTGGAACATTAATTTCATAAAAATTACTAGATTCAAGACTTGCATTAGGACGGTACTCCACTTCATAACTACTTTCAATTGCTGTTTGTGTTGGTGGGATTGAAAATACTTGTAATTCAGATTTGCTTGCAGGCATAGATGATTCATGTAAGTACTCCATTATGTGAATATATCACGTTTCTTTTTCTTGATGATTTTAACTTGTCGTTTTCTCTTTCTTATACCACTACCAGTTTGGTCAACTAAGTCACTTAATTTACTCAAACCTTGTTTTGCTGCATTTCTTAAACCCTGTTTACCGTGAGCCTTAAATGAAGATTTAAAGTCACTTCCGGCAAGATAATCAGCACCAACATTCATACCGGTTCTCACTAGATGTTTAGTTAGAAATTTTAATATTGGGACTCCATAACGTGCAAAAACTGATCCAATTCCGTATCCTCTCTGATATGGTTGACCTCTAAAGACAGAAATATCAGATATACCATAGCCAGCTTGATGCTGAAAATGATGACTGAAATCACTATCACACGGGCAATATATTTTTCGATTCATTTTTTAATTCTCTTATTTAATTTTCTTTTCTTAAACAATTTCTTTTCGTTTAAAATGTAAACTTAGAAAGACACGTCCAGATTTGAATTTAATATTATCACCACTTTCATCGACAATTCTTATACTTATTTCCTCAATTTGATTCATTCTAACTGGATAATAATATGGTGTTGTAAATGTAATGTGAGCTAATGTATCACCTGTATTTTTATTTAAAGGTATCACTCTCAAGACTCTTGCATGAGTATCACCAACTAAATGTTCATGTATAATATCAGTACAAATGAACACTAAATGACCTTTAGGTCCAGTATCAGGTTGATAAGGAGCAGTTATTTCAAATGTCCCATTTTTCTTAGCTTCAGGAATTCTCTTTTTGAACACGTACCAATCAAAACCGAGAAGTCTGAAGAACGATTGGTCATTAAACATTGGGTAAAGTGGTTGTAAAAGTTTCTCATGACGTCCATTAGCTTCTTATCATATATTAACATTGATGATCTATCCTGATGGATAGATGATTTCTTTAGAACAGAATTTCACTGTACCTGTATGATGAATAATCTTTGAGAATAAGACTCATTAACATAACATTCATTCTATTGCCTCTATGTGCAAGAGGGTAAATAATTTCTTGAACAGCTACCGACCATTCACCATCAAGAATAAGTTTTTTAGGTAATCGATTAGTAAATTGAGATAATGTATTGTTTTTATAAATATCCATACTGGCATTAGAAATAACATCAACAACAAATTCATTCGACATTTTCAATTGAATCAACCCAGGAATTAAATTTGTCAGGATATCCAACCCAGGAAACGAAATATTCTTTCTTTTTAGTACGTGGATTTATTCTAGTTCTTAAAACTTCATTGATCTTATATAAATCAGGTTCAACTACAGGATAGATCTCTTCATGATAAAAAATCGATGTAACTGGTTCATTATCATAGTCACGTAGACGATAAACATATCCTTGAGGTGTATGTTTGACTTTAGTTATATAATAGATTTCACGACTCCATGTTGATGTTGCACCTTTCTCAAAAATAGTTTTAGCTCTTGTTATTCGAACACTATCTCCTACTTGGTAAGGTTTTTGTTTCCTTTTATTTTTCTTTTGACCGCGGAAAACATTACTAACAGCTAATGATTGGTTAGTTAATGCTTGAATTGGTGTCATTTTAATAGTTCGATGATATGAGTTATTATATGAATTGATTATTTTATTTAATACATCTATATATTTGTGTTTGTTTTTATAATGTAAATAACGATAAATTCGGGATCTTAATGTACGATTGAATCTCTCGACAATAGCACATTTAATTAAATCATCAGTTGATGTGAAATGATTAATATTAAGTTTTTGTAAATATTGTTTTAAATATTGATTAACAAATTCTTTTCCTTGATCAGTTTGTAATTTTTCTGGTTTTCTCGATTTGAATATTTCTTTAAATCCGTTAATAACTGTATTCGAAGATTTATCTTTTAAAGGAACAGCCCAGGCAAATCTACTTAGACAATCAATAACAACTAATAAGTATTTATATTGATCGTTGGCTCTTGAAAGCCAACTCATATCCATGATATCGGCTTGCCATTGCTCATCGACTTTATCAACCAGAATAGGTAATCTTGGGAATGGTTTTTTTCTTTCACGAAATAAACTATATGTTTCTTGGTTTTGCAACCATGATTCAACATCATTGAATTTTAAATTGGAAATTTTAATTCTTGCAGTATCATATAATTTTTTAATACCTCCAAATGATCCAGATGATTCAGGATCATAATAAATTTTTTCTAATTCTTGTTCGATACTAGATCCTCCCATTTCAAGTCATTTATAAATTCAATTGCTTTTTCGTTCTTAATTAGTTTAACTGCACCTGGATACTTTAATCTTATCATCGTTAATACTCTTTTTGAACCATTTGGGAATTTAGTTCTTGCACCAACCGTTCGTAAGTAAGTAATGATTTCATCTATATTACTCGCATTTGAAGGTATTCCAGTTTCATTTGTGATTTTCCTTTCTCGGTAAACCAGGGATCCCTCTGATTAATGTTGTTAGTGCATCTTTCGCATCCATTCTTGAGTTTGAAGGATACGGAGAAACTCTTACAGGTTCTGGTGGTAATCGATATGGACTTGATGTTTCCATTGGTAATGTATCGTCTTCCGATTTAGTATCAATTAAAGTCCGATCATTTGTATGTGAAACTGCACTTTCAAATTCTGATGGTTCTGATTGTTGATCTTCATTATAAAATTCAGTTCCACGGTAATTTTGATGTTCGAGATTATGTTCTTTTGTTCTTGCCAACATGTTATTAATGAATTTAACTTTAACTTCAGTTGGTAAATTTTTATTTAACATACGTCTAGTTACACTGGGTCTCAAAACATTACGTTTATATTGATCTTCAGAAACCAAGTACATTCGAGTTACTGTATTCATTATTTTGACAATTTATTTGCAGCAATTGTTGCTAATAGTGTCAATGCTGGTTTAATTAATAATGGTAAGAATCCACCTTTCTGATTAATCAGATTTTGTCTCTGTTTCAATGTAGATTTACCGGTGAGAAGACGTAAATCTTTCTTATACCGTTTGAGTTTGGTTTTATGTTTAGGTTTCAAAGGTATTACACCTTTCAAGATTTGTTTAGCAATATCGGTAATTACAGGGTAAATAGATTTAGGTGAATTGGTAATGATTTTTCTTCTTTGGATATGTGATTTCGTCTTTGCAAGCTGTCGCAAGCAAGAATAACACTTGAGTGCACGTTTAACTGTCATTTTTAATCAACTAAAAGAATCGAACTTCTTATACTAAATATGCTGTTATATATGATTCTTCATCAAGTACATTTGTGAGAAATCTAGTTTCTATTGGGGTATCAGGTTTTAAATCGAAAAATAAATATGAATATGGTTTTCTTGTTGCATCTTCATAAATATCTTGTAACTTTTTAACTTTACCAGGTAAAATTTGTCTTCCGATATTAGTTATCATTGATTGATCACGAGGATTTTTAAAATAAACTACATATTGTGAATTTAATGAGATATTTCTCGATTCTTTACCACGAGTAAAAAAGTTTTGTACTAATAAAATAACAGATAAGTTACGATGGTGAGATCCTTTAGTAAATAATTCACTTATCACTTTTGAATTTGTTGATTCAAACATTAAATCATCAATAATAATCCATTCTGGTTTTATACCATCAAATTTTTGTATTAAATTTTCAGGTAAACCTTGAATAAAATTAACATTCGGCATTGAACTGAATATTTCCTGGTATTCTCCGTAAAAGTAAGTTATCTTTTCTGGTGGTGGGTAACAATATTTATTAACATTTGATACTAATTGCTTAATCCAATAAGTTTTACCCGAACCTGTTGGACCAGCAATCATCATTGTAAATGGATGACGTAAATAAACAGAGAAAGTTTGCATTTTAAAGATTAAATTGTTTATTGTTTTCTATTCTTAAGTAGATTCTGGAAAAATCTGAAAAAACGTTTTTTACGAATATTTCTTATGAAAATGATTAACGTAAATTTTTTGAAAAAAGAAATTTTACAAAAAATGATTAACATGAATTTTGAAAAAAATGAATATGAATTTTGAAAAAATGAATATAAATTTTTGAAAAAAATAATTAATAGAAATTTTTGAAAATTGATTAACATAAATTTTGAAAAATGATTAACATAAATTTAATTATCAACAACATCTATTCCATGTTCTTTAACATAATCCATATGTTTTTTCATATACTGGACAATATTTAGTGAACATCTTGTGTTCACGTTAGAAGAATGTAGATAACATGGTTGTTTTAACTGATCAATTAATTTGTATGAAGCACCATACGTTCCGTTGATATTAATTAGAGGGATATTGAATTTATTCAAGACAATTTCTGCTTCAACTGATCGAACGGCTACAATTAATTTTGATTTGTTTCTGCAAGCTCTGTAAAAAGTAACACATAGAGCTTCCAATTCATCATAACTTAAACCATTAGTGAATCCATTATATTTTAATCCGTGATGGTACTTCTCGAGGTATTGTATCTGTTTTTCTTCCTTGGGTGTTGGTTTACATTCACAAAATTTACCCACTTTCACATGAATTAAATGATCATCACCGTACATTGCAATCTCTTGTGGATGATAAGTACCATTAACATAGATACCTTGAGTATCGAAATAAGCACAAATATATTCCATGTTGACTGTTCAAAGTTTGGATGACAAATGAACTTGTGTTCACTTGATCATCTCTATTTATACTGTAGTTTGACGAGTGAGCAGAAAAGTTTCGGATCGGACTGAGCAAATCGAGTGAGTGCAGCGACATCTAATGATGTGTTGAGTAAATCATCAGCAGTAACTAATCCTAGGTTGAATAGATAACACTTTTCAGGCTCGACTTTATTACCTCTTATTGCTGTGAATTTATGTTCTAATAAATTCTCTTCAGTTGTTAATAAAGATAATATGTATAAGTCAATTAACTGTTTGATAGGTAGATCCTTGGATAACAAAAATAGAGCAGCAGGAACAAATGGTGTGACTTCTCTCCAGAAATCCATTGGAGTTAGAACATAAGAATCTTTTTTCATTATTTTTAGTGTCTCACTTCCGATTCTTTTAATGTGGATATCGTAGAAGAAGGCTTGTTCATTACGTAAGTCATTATTTTTGAAGAAATTAAATACAAATTTAAACTCTGATGGTGTTAAAGATATTCCAAATTTAGTCGGTGAACTATTATAACTATATCTGATATCCAGTCGATTACATTTTTCACTTCGAGAAATTTTAAAGATGATTGGACCATTAAAGATTCTGTGTGTTTTCCAGATTATACAACCCATTTTTGATGTTTACTCTTCAAAGTTCAAATGATAAATGAATTTTCATTTAGTTGAACCTCTCTATTTATAGTGATTTGATTCTGTCCATGAACTGCGCAATCGCAGTTTCAATTTGTTCGACACTTTTCGCGCCAACAATTACGATTGATCCAGTATGGAAGTACATGATTGTTAGTCCATTTAGTTTTGTATATATTGGAGGGAATAATTCAGGTTCATAACTTGTATCTTTTTTACAATATAATTGTTTAAGTTTTTCAGTATTGAACCTTACTGAATTATAACTTGATGCTGTTATATTAGATATTCTGATGAATGATATTTCACGATCAGGAAATATTTCCATTAATGTTAGAATTGTCATAGGTAGACTTTTGAATCCAGTTGCTGTGATTTTTCCAGATGCAAAAACTAGCAGCACACCATTATCAGTTCTTATAACTTGAGCGTTGAATTTTTTCTTTCGGTTTGTATTATCGACTTTGATGTCTATCGGTCCAATTGACCATATTGAAACTATATTATCAATCCGATAATCAGGCCAGATTGATTTGGTCATATTTGATATTATCAAAAAATATTGCACGGAATATTAGTAGTAAAATGACTGTTATAATTGTGAAAATGATGATTCGTAAAATCATGTTATGTTTCATGGAGAAAACCGTATCGAATGAGCTGACTACCGTCAGCTCATCCTCTTTTATACTGTTTTAAAAAAATTTAAATTTCGCGCCAAAAAAGGACAGGAAAAATTTGATCCAAAACCCTCAATTTGATTCAGAACCCTCAACTTGATTCAGAAACCCCCTGATCCAAAACCCTCAACTTGATCCAAAACCCTCAACATGATCCAGAGTCATCTTTTTATTAACTACTTCTCTCTACATGTCATCTCTCACCCACTTTTGTCTTCACAATCATGGCCTCCTCATCTTCCACTTTTGACAATTTCCGATTCTCCAAGGAGATTTGCAATTTCGTTGAATACATTTTCTCCCTTTTCATCATATTCAGCCCACCTATTTTTTCCTGTTCATGGAAGATGAAGATGAAGATGAAGATATCTATCATCTTGAAAAAGCCAATTGATTTGACATTTTACTTTCCCCTTGAGTAAAAAATGTTACCTTATGCTGTTTAATAATATGAAAGAAATAACTCACCATCTTCATTCATCTTCAATAACATCAGTTTGCATCACAATCTAACATAACTGTATTTATATTATATTTCATCTTTCACTCCTGTAAGTTTTTCTTTCATATTCGCTCCCACCTCTTTATCTTCCTCATCTCATGTCTCTCTTTCTCTTCTCAATCTTTGTTTCCTCCCTGTTGATAAAAATCATTTTTCATGTTACTCGTTTATTTCACTTCCCATTTACTTCCGTGTATTCATTTCATCATATCCGTGATCAGATAATCATTTTAACTTTTCATGGTCAAACTATCACATTACGGTTAGAAAAAAAAATCAGAATTCTGAGTGAAATTTATCTCATAAACTGATAAAATTTTACATTTTCATGATTATTTGATACCATGAAAGTAATAGAAGAAGAGTAAACAAAAAGAAAAAAGAAAAATATGAAGAACCAAGAATCAAGAACTTGGAATATTTTAACTGCTTGTTTATCAGTTTAAATTCAGATTCTAACCTCACATGGGAATCTGTTACATAAGTTTCATCGAATCAAGAGAAGAAGAAGAAAAGTTCTGATAACAAATCCTATTATTCACTAAGGTGTTACCCAAGGTTAAAAATAAAGTTCTGAATGAAACCTGAGTTTGTTAGAGGAAATAAAAATTTCTCAACATTTTCACACTTACAAATGTACAGTTACTTAAAAAAGTTATTGATTTTAAAAGGAAACAAATTGAAACCAAATGATTGGATAAAAGTAAACAAACATTTTCACCATTTACAGTTAGATAAACAATATTGTTGCAAACAGTTTTCTCACCATTTAATCACATATAACAGTTTTTTACCTTTAATGTTGTGATACTTTGATTTCTGGTAATTTACTTGAATATTTATCACTATTGATATTGGTTAATCTTGCATCAATTTTGGCTTGAAAGATTCTGGTTTTTGTTGCTGCATATATTGGTAACTTACAGGATCTACTTGGTGTATACGCCGTTATATTAGTGAAACAAAAGTGATGCCTTCAGATAAATGATGTATATTAATATTAATGATTTGCTTTGAAAGGTTTGCAATCAATCAAAATGAAATTGCATTTAATATATTTGAGTTTGTTTTTTGCTCTCTCTCTCTCTCTTGCTTCATCTTATTCTGAGCTGCTCTCATTTACTGCCATCCACCATGTTATAACTCTGGCTTTTTGCAGATCAACAGAAATTGCAATTATTGTAGAAAAAAAATTTCTTCACTCAACATCATAAATCATGTTACAATCAATTTCTACTTTTTCTTCATCTTCTCTTGCACACACACACACTCATTCACTCACTTGCTCACATTTATTATATGGATTAACTTTCATCTTCATCTTCATCACCATCAGCATCATCATCCACCTCAATCTAATCACTTTGATTGCTCTTGTTTGTTAATTTCACTTTGCAAGCAAAAAAAAATTAATTCATCATTTTTTAGTTTGATAATCTCATTTTCGGATATACAGTTGATTTATTTTTATATTACTATTTATGTGTATATGATGTTGATTGTGCTTGCAAACGATGAAGTAATCAAATTGGATTGATGATGAGGATGCAATTGTGACTTAATATGTATTTCATTTAATTTTGATTCATTTTCTTTGTTTTTATACTTTGATTATTACATTTTTTAGCCTTCTCTCAATGGATCTTGTTGATTGTTTGTCTGCTGATATAAATACTTTTACCAGGGGTGTTTGAAATGAGAAATCATGTTGAAAGTTGTCAAGAAAAATTCAGAGAAATGAAAAAGTTTGAAATCTTTTTACACTTTGTTTGTTTCGAGCTCATTTTTTTTCACTTTTCTCCCTCCTGATTGTTGACATTGAAATGATTGGGGTTTGGGTTGATGTTGTTATCCTTGAAGATGAAGATGTCAGAATGAATTTTGACTGAATCCAATCAAAAATGATTGACAATCTGTTTGTCAGAATAATTTTGAAGGGAAGAGAAAAAAAAATTTCTTTTTGCAAAAATTTCCAAACTTCAATCACCATTTCAAGTTGAATTTATGTTCATCATATTTTCAACTCTCTCTCTCTCTCTCAAACATGTAGGTGGTGGGAGTAAATTGATTTGCAAAAAGTATTTGCATCTACGTTTTTTCCGTTGTTTTCATTGAGAATTTCAATAAACAACCATTTTGACAGTTTCGTTTTCAACTTTCAATTTGAACATTATTGTCACCAACCAGGTAACCCATTTGTTTGCATTACAAACATCAAAACAAACTTTAAATTATTTCTTCAATTTAGTTATATTGTTTCTCAATCATCAGCTGATGACATTTACATTTGATTGATTGATGAACTTAGTTGACTTAATTACCTGATAAATAATTAATAAGTTTACCTTTTCCTTTTTAACTGTCTAGCAAATTGTAATAATAATATCAATATAATTGTATAAGTATCGTTGCTTTTTCCATTTGTCTAATACCTTGAGGGTAAGTTGTTGAATCTTAATTATCATCATTATTGTATTAACGATTTGATTACCATTAGAGAGAGAGAGAGAGAGAGAGAGAGAGAGACAATTAATTATTGATGCAATGTGTTTGCTTGTTGACAGTTAAACTTTGTATTCTTTTGAATCACAAACCGGGAAATGATGATTATCATAATCATCATCATGATCACCGACTCATGGATGATTGATCTGAATAATCTTTGCATCCTTTTTACACTGCTAATCACCATTATCATCATTAAAGGTGATCAAGATCATTGTAAGAAGATAAAAAAAAATGTTGATAATCAACTCACTTGGTGGTCATCTTTATCATTACAGTTATCAGTTTGCAAGAAAAAAAAATGTTTTTTTTTACTTTGAACGTGCAAATGCAATTTAATTGTTGATTTAAAGGTTGATTGTTGTTGAAAAATGATCTGTAATTGACCTGAGAAGTTGATGAAGATGAAGCATGATGAATATACAAATAATGAGTCGGTATCATATGTTGAGATGCTGATGATGATTATGGTTTGAAAGTTGTGTTAATGGTCAGTGTACTAGAAGAAGAAGGAAAAAAAAGTAACTTTGTGTACTTACGAACCTGAACTAACCTTATTTAGTTTCTGTACATTAGTGTATCTGTTGACCACAGGTAGAAGAAGGTATTTAGTTGGAGAGAGAGAGAGAGAGAATCGATATTTTTTTGTTCTGAAAATAGTTCTAAAGTCTCCTGTTGGTTGTTCAAACCTTTTTAACATGAAATTCACGGATCATTAGCGATAAGTAACAAAGAAAAAAATTGAATACATTGTATGGTCATTACCTTCATATCTTTTTACCATTGATTGTCCAGACGTTGATTGTTGTTGGATCAATGATGAAGATGATGATTGATACAATCTTAAAGGTTGACCAAAGGCGTTCAAAGCCATTTGTTACCATCAATCAAACTTAAGGAAAACGGAAGAGCAAGAAGAAAAGAGAAAATGGTCAACAACAACTTAAATGGACTTTAGAACATAACACCAATGGAATAATATGTATAAAGAGAAAGAGAGAGAGAGAGACAGAGATGACCATTCATTTTGTCCAGATGAAAGAGTGCGAATCAGAGATCCAGAGAAAGAGAGAGAAAAGTACTGAAAAAGAAAGAGATATTATTATAACCCTTGGAGCTATTGGTCAAGTATTGAGAGGAACATTTTGTTTGTTGAGTTGTTTGTGTCCAGTGAGAAAAAGCCAAATAATAACAACAACAGAAAACTTTAATAAGGACCAACAGTCAAGTACCAACTGACAGTGACCTCTCCTACCTCTTAATCCTCCACCCTGGTAACCCTGTAATCTATTACCTTGTTATTGAAGATAAACAACATTTATCTTTATCTCTATTACCTTTTACCTACTAAATATTATTTATCTTCATTTTCAGTTGTTTTTCCTCTTGTTGATCATCTTGACCTTTACCTGTCAAAAATGATAAAAAAAATACACAGCAAATCTGATCTACTTTACCTAATACTACATTTATAGTTTATTACATCAATCATAATCAACTTGGAGAGAGAAAATCATAAATCTCAATGATAATGATGATCAATTTTCATTAGTTTTGAATCAAATTTCAATCAAAATGTTATCACTTTTTTCGTGAATGTTTCATTCCCAGTAACTTAAACTCCCAGTTTGATCATAAAATTTATTATCATTGATAATCATCATCATCATCATCATTTATAAATTGCAATGATGATTTAACAACAGATTTAAATTGCCTTTTCCAGTCTATAAATTTTCAACCTCCTTCAGCAATTTGATTGTTATTAACAATCAAAATATATAATAAAATGATATGATAAACAAATTACAATTTACAATCAAATTTATAGTTAATCATAAAAAAATTATGTCT